CATCTCCCCGCCTGGGCCAAGGCAGCCCGACTTCGGCAGAACGCCGCACGGCGGGCCCAGGCCCAGCCCAATCGCAACCAGGAGCGCAGGCCACGGTCCAGCATCGCCACACGAGGCAGGGCAGCACTGATAAAATTGGCGCAAGCTGCCCAGCAGCGCCCCCCCAGGCCAGACCTCCTCGGCAGGGCCATCTACGTCAGCACTTGGGCCTCCCAACACGCCAGCAACCACGGGCAGCGGATGCACCCTGCCAGCGCCAGGCGGAGGTGGGCGCCTGGAGAGGGACACGAACGGGCAACATTGCGATGCGCCCCCAACTTCACGGCCGCCCATCACACTCTGAAGCTCCTAGCCAACGGCCCCCCTTGGAAAGCCACGTGGAGGACGGCCGCTGACCGCCCCCCTCCTTGCTGCTCAGCGCGCCAATCCCCCGGGAAGGCCGTCTGGCACACAGGGGGCCGCGACGCTCCAGGTCAAGCCTGGCGCAAGGCACGTCTCGGCCCCCGGGCTCGCGACGACGGCAAGCGGGCAGCACTCGACGTGCACCGCGCCCCAGACAGGCTGGTCACCGCCTGGCGCCTCTCCCACCTTATCACGGCGCCCCCCTCAGACCCGCCCCTGCGCCCAGCCCTTGCCCTTGCGGCCGCTGTCCGCCGCGCGGACAGGGCGAGGCCAGTGCCGAACACTTCTGGAACTGGCGCGCGGCTATGGCACTGGCCCGGCACCTGGCCCGCCCGCCCAGCCCCCCGTCCATTTTCGTCGGAGCCATACTGCAACCCAGCAGTCACTCCAGATTGCTGGTGGACTTCCTGCTTTAACTGGCCTACCCGTATGCCACGGGACTTGACCACCCCCCCCCTTTGGTCCTGTTTCTGCCGCCAACGCCATGCGCGCAGCCATCAATTCAGACCGCACGGCGGATCAGCCCGCCGACGAACCCGACCTGGAAGACCCTGCGGGCACACTTCCACAGACGCCCGACGCCTGGGCACGGCGCGACGAGGGCTGCTCGGGATGCTGCCCCACCCAACCGCCCCGCATCTTGGCAGGGCCCGCCCAATCGCACCTCACCCGCAACGCGCCGAGGCGAGGCAAGGCGACTCCCCATTTGCGCGCACGGCTCCCCAATCAACACAGCCCTCCACCACTTGAGGTGCGAGGCGCCCACGGGAGGTTGGCGGCTGGCGGGGCGGGCGCGGGCCCCGCGCACCCGCCCTACAGACGACCGCCCAAACGCGCGGCCGGACCTGCCGCCAGCATCGGCAATCACTCTGGTCCAGCTGCCCCATCGAAGCGCCATCGGAGGTCACTGTCCCTCGCTCCCCCCTTGCGGACCAGGATCGGGCGCAGTGGCCCCTGAGGTCACCTGCGACGGGGGCGCCAAGATGTCGGGCCGCAGCAGGGTCGCAAGAGCGGGAGCCACCCTGCGGCAGCACTCCGACGACGGAGGACCGCGGGCGCGCCTGGCATGGCGCATCGCAGCCCGACCGCGCACCGACAACGCCCAGACCACTGAAGCAGCAGGGCGCAGGGCGGGGCTCAGCGCCCCAGCCACAACTAGATCGCCCGCGCGTTCGGCCAAGGCTGTGGGCGACAACCTCGCGGCCATCAGGTACGGCGCCGAAACCGCCAGATTCCGACGGCTCCACCTGGCCGCGCAGATGGACATTGGATTCGAACCTTTCATACAGAGGGCAGGGCCCCTGGACTGGCAGGCGGCGCGACGCCGCCTGAACACTGCCAGCGACGGGCTGGCAACCACTGGCGTCTTCTGGGCCGAGGCCCTCCGAAACGCGGGGCACTCCCAGGCCCAAATTTGGACCATCTGGCACAATGCCCCGAGGCGCGGGCCCCCTCCTGTCTGCCGGCGCCTCTCTCGACCACGACTCCCTCTCCGCTGCCGTGGGCGACCTGGAACAGACCCGGCCCTGGGACCGGCCACGCCGGGACAGGATCGGGCGACCACCCTCTCCATTACACCACGGCATCGCGCCCCCCCCCTTGCCCAGCTCGGTTGCAGTGGTTATCAAGCATCGGTGTAACTATTCATTGTTTCCCCCATGGCCCCCCCATCGCCCGCAGTCTACGCCCCCGACCCCCGCGGGCCCTGCGCCAACCCAAAATGAATCCGCGCTTTCGACGTCGGCAGTGCCCATTCATGTGCTGGGCCAGGACCACCGACGGATAGCAGTTGTGGCACTGCGAATGGGACAGCACCTTCGCGCAGGACAATGCCAATTTTTCTGAGGACAAGCAGAGTAGGGCCGCCCAGAATCACACAAGCGCGCCCCGTGACCCTACCAAGCGGGACGGAGGCAGCAAAGCATGGGTTTACATTGCTGGAGGCGGCCTCACCTAGCAATACCCTGGTTCCCCATACTGGCTTCATGGACGGCCAAGTGGTGCAGCTACAGGACTTTGTCGAGGACGACTGGGACGCCGCCCCCACTTGCTACCCCCCCACGAGCGCCCCGTCGGGCTGGCCCCCCCCTGACAGCCCAGGCAGGGACATCGACGCCGCGCGACGCCCACGGGCGACCAGCGTCGGCGACGAGCTATCCAGGACACGGGCCGGGGAGGAACAGCCTCGCTCAGCGCTGCAAGGGCTTGCGATTCCAGTCCAATTGCCGCGGGCGGCAGTCCCATCCGGAGCGAGTGGCTCCGCCACCGGACCCCCGGCCCCGCTCCGGGCCGACGAGACCGAGTCCTTCCATCTGGCCGAGGGTGGCCCCCCCAGCAGGCCCGGCACGCCGCCGCCCCATGGCCTCGCTTCGGGTGGCCGTCTCGCTTTCTCTTACGATAGCCCTCCTGGCCTGCGTGCCGCACGTGCCATGCGGGACGTGAATTCTCACCAGTAGCACTCTCCCCCACTGCAGCCCATTCAACGCCCCATTGGCCCCGCCCCGGGGGCCCCCCCCTGCCCCGCAGGTAGCAGACGGACTACCATGCCAAGGGATGGAAATTATTTCAGATTTACGAGTTTGAGTTGATGGCTGGATTGGAGCCTGAAGACGACGCGCCCCCCAGGGCGCGCGGCGAACTGCGCGGGGAGGCCACGCGCGCCCTGGACCTCGCCACCGACGAGCACAACCCTCACTTCCCGCACCCAGTCGTACGGGAATGGAACCTCCAGCGAAGGCTCAGCGACCACCACGAGGGCGAGCGAGCGGGAGCATTACATTCTATCCTGGGAAAGGCGACTGGCGCACTGACTGGAACAAGGTGGATTTCAGGGACATCACACTCCTGATCTCTCGGCGTTCCCCAATTTCAGGGCGCCTTGGCGAAGTGAGACCCATCTGGCCCCCTGCCCCCGGCGGGCTCTCCGACGGCCCGCCCAGGACCAGGTACCCCACCAATCGTATCATCGTCGGCATCGACACCGGGAAAAAGCGCGCCCTGCATCCCGCGGATTCCCCCATGAGCCCCGCCCCCCCCCCGCGGGCGACAGGGCACCGGATTCCCCCCACGGGCCCTTTGTACCAGGTAGACAAGCGACCGGTGTGGACCGCAATGCAGCGACTTGTCATGCTTGAAGTCGAGCCATATAATGCGACGGGAACCCCCATCCAGATCATCCCCCACCAGATGACCAGCGTCAATTCCGCCAGACAATTAATTGACGGACACAGGAGGCTGACTCTGGGCGCGCGGGGCCGCCACGCTCAACACGCGGATCCCCGACCCCGAGGGGTACCCACCACCCCCAGGTGCCATGCCCATCGGAGACGCTGAAGTGGACGAGTGGTCTGGGGGCGCATTCCAGCGGCCTCCCCCCTCCCCCTGCCAGCGTCTGGCTGAGGACAGGGCCAAGAGGCACGTCCTAAACGAACTCCGTTTCAAAGTTTTCCAAATGTCCCTCGGCGCACTGGCGCCCCTTGTGCATGGACCCCCTGGCACGGGCGAGACCAAGAACGTAGCGGCGCTGATCGATCGATGGATGGTCTGCGCCACAGAGGACTGGGCGGTCGGACTGTTCTCTGGCTCTAACAAGAGCGCCGACGTGCTGGCTCAGTACCTCGCCGACGCCCACCAGGCCGGCAAACTAAACGAGGGCGGCGGCTTTCTTGGGGCGGCTGTCAGATTTACCAATCCTGACAAGGTGGCCAACCCCGCCGCCCGCAATCTCACCCCCACTCAGCGGCAGAGCCAGGCACACGGCACGGCCATCAGTGAAATCGGCCCCAAGACCCTCACCCGAACGAGGAAGCACGAATTCGCCAAGGCCCGCCCCGCATTTGTCACGCTCGAAGGGGCAGTGGAGCTCGACAACCCGGACAACCCTAAGTTGCAAATCGCCATAGACGAAGCCGGGCAGTACACCAAACCACTTGCAGCCACCCCCCCCTCTCTTTCACAGCCCACAGCGGACGGCGCCTGGTGCTGTGCGGTGGCGAAAACCAGTCGCATGCGCCCCACGGTATGTCCGTCCGCGCTGAATTCCTGGGCCTAGGGATTTCGACGCTCGAACGCTTCCACGACTCCCTCGGGGCCTCCAGCCAGCACACCGTGATGCTCAGCATGTAATACCGCATGCACGACAGCATACTGCAATGGCCGTCCGCCACCTGCTACCAGTGAACTTTGTTCTCTGGCCTCACCCACGCGCTCGCACAGAGGCTGCCCATCATCGGGATCCCATGGAGGTAAGCCGACCCAGTCCAGCAATCCCCCAATCCGCCCCCCTCGCAGGACATCCAAGAAGACCCCATCAGCATTGGGACGCACGGCTTCCGCAACCGCCAGTACGGGGCTCAGCCAGCTGATTGTATACAGGTCCTGCTAGTTCACGAGAATCCGCCGAACTGCCAGTTGCCCTGGTCGAAGGCACTACCAAAACAAGGGTGGCCGCCACAGTCTGCGACATCGACGAGTCCATTGAAGGCCATCTACTGGACACAGGCAAGCGCGTCTTGATCGTCTGCGGATATCGCGCCCAAGTGGCTTTCATCAGAGCCGGGCGGCCCGCCGACGCGGCCGCCTCTTTCAGCGCATACCAGGGCAAAGGCAAGGAAACAGGCGCGGCCACCAGCCGAGGCGCTCCGGCGCATTCCAGGGCGGCCACGCCCCAGGGGCGCCCCACCAAAGGTTCGCAGGAGGGCAAAGTCTCACCCTCTGGCACCACTTTCAAGCGTCACCGCCCCGCCGAGCTCAACGGCCTCGAGCTACATTTCCCTGGCATCGAAGCGACCTGCCCCCGCCTGTCGACAGAGGCTTCGTCAGCGTGTCCACCGTCGACGGGAACCAAGGGGATGAGGCCAACCTGGTTATCCTCTGCACCACCCGCGCGAACTCCACAGGACACTGGGGCTTCGTGCACGACCCGCACCGCCTCAACGTCGCTCTCACTCGGGCGCAGGACGGAGTCGCTGGCGTGCTAAAGGCGAAGATGGCGAACGCAGCGACCGAATCTCACATGCACACCCTCGCGGAGTGGGGAGGCACCGCTGGCTTCTGGACCAGCTTCGACGACCCCGGGCAAACGAGAAGCGCTCAGTCAGACCCCTAACTTCTCACCAGCCAGGGCACGGGAGGCCCCCATCGGCGCGCATGCCCCGGCACCCCCCTACGATGAGCAAGCGCGGCTCGCAGCTGAGCAGGAACGACGCAACGACGACAAGGAGTGCCAGCGAATCGCCGACCAACGGCCTTCTGCTTCCAGGCCCTCTACGACCCCCCGCTTCCCCCGGGGCGCAGTTGGGAAAGGTTGAGCGAGGATATGTTGGCACACTAGTTCTGAGCGGCCCAGCTCTGGCACTTGCGCTGCACTATGTCCTCAGCCGACACCCCCACATGCACGGCCCAGGAGACTCGCCAACAGATCTCTACGAACAATGCCGTAAGCTGGTCAGCCACGACGGGCATGTGCACGCGAACGAACAGGGCATCGACGCCACCAACCTCGTCTACACTGCGGCCTGGGCAGGCCTACTGCATCTGGCAGGGCTTCAACCCATTATTGATCCAGGCAGAGCGATAGACGAGGATCCCCCCCCCGCTCACCACAGGCCGCAGCGAGTCTCGCTGGCATTGGCGCGTCGACCAGCCCCCAAGGGCACAGCCAGGCACCCCCCCGCCGCCTGGAGCACGAACACACGCGAGTGCACGCGCCACCAGGGTGCGCCATTGTCCCAGCACCGCGCTGCCCTTACCGAACAGCAGGACCAGCCACTCGAAGGCCCTTCCAGCCTGCTCAAGGACAGCGACGGGAACCCCATCCAGCGCCCGCGCGCAAACACGACCTTGGCTTCGATGCTCTTTCTCATCAGGGAGCCCAGACCCAATCCAGCCCCCATACGGGAAACCCGGCCACACCGGCGACATCTGCAAAGCCACCTTGGGCATCTGCTCCCCCTACAACCACGCGCGCCTTCCGACGCGGGATAGCTTCGGGCGGGCCCACAACCTAGCAGATGCAGACTTCCGCAGACTACATGGGCGCTTGGGTGCCTTCATCAAGGCATGTTCCAGGCTAGTCACTGTGGCGCGCCACCCTGACATCGACGGAGTCGAGCGCACGGTGGCCTGGAAGGAAGCCTTCGTCGGGGACTCTCCCCTGAAGCACACCCTCTAAGCCCTTGACCAGCATGCCTCCCCCGCGGACCTCTCTTGCCTGCAGACCCACAGCTGCGCGGTCTGCGCTTTCTCCCAGGTCCCAGGCCCTTCTCGGGTCCACCGTGGGTCTCCTACCTGAAGACCATCAGTCCGCCATCCCACAGCACCTCGGAAAAGGATTGTCGATGGCAGGAAAAGGACTTTTTCGCAGCCCCCAAAACTGGCGCGCTACCCAGCGTCGCGCTCTCTCCCCCCATCCTCTGTCAGGGTGGCTATCGCTTCCAGCCAGCCATGCGACCCCCCCGCATATGCTGCGACCAATGCGGGCAGGGCCCCGTCAACCCCCAGAGGCAAATTGTTGTCGCTTCGCGAATCCCCACCAGCCCATCCAGAAACGATGCCCAGAGGAATTGCCTCGATCAGAGAAGTGGGCAGCACACAGAGGAAGCCATTATGAGACATCTTGGGATATCTTGAGCCATCTTGGAAGTCATTTTGGGCTCTCCCAGACGCTCTTGGAGTCATCTTAATCCGTGCCCCCCCCCAAAGAGGCCTCCATGTGGCTAAAACCTGTGTAGAATCAATGATTAGGCATTCTCGCCGAGGCCTCTTGGAGCATCTTGGGTGCATCTGGGGGGGCTCTTGGGGCCTCTTGGGGGTCTCTTGGGGGCCTCCGGGGGGCCTCTTGGGGGCCTCTTGGGGCATTTTGGGGCCATCTTGGGACCTCTTGGGGCTTCCTGGGCGCTTCTTGGGGCCATCTTGGAGGAGATCGATCAACAGACATCGATCAACAGGAGGGGGGTTTCAATTAGCGCCCCCCACTCGGAAGCCCTAAAATCCCTCTTGGACCCCTCTTGGAACGCTCTTGGAGTGCTCTTGTCGCTCTTGGGGCCGCTTGGGGCTTCTTTTGGGCTCTCTTGGGGCCCTCTTGGCCATCTTTGGAACGATCTCCAGGCCCCAAGGTCCATCGGAAGCAAAGGCGAGAAGGCCAAAAATGCATTGATTTTCCTTAGGTTTTTGGACGACTTTTGGCCTCTCGTCGGGGCCCCCCTTGGGGAGCTGTTTGCCACTTGGAGTTATCTTGGGGCCGTCTTTGGGCTTCTTGGAACCATCTTAGGAGCCATCTCGAGCGATCTTGCGCTATCTTGAGCCATCTTGGAGCTCATCTTGGGTTCTCTGAGGCGCTCTTGGAGCCGTCTTGGGCATCTGGGACGCTCTAACTACCCGCGGCCCCCCCCGTCCAGGTCCAGGGGAGGGGGTAGGGGGAGGGGTAAACCCCTCCCCAAGGGGGAAGAGGGAGGGGTGGAAGAGGATCTGCTCTAGACCACCTACGCCCAGAGGGCTGGTGGGATTTGAGGCGCATGGGTGGGCCCCACGATCAGGAAAAGGTCGACCGCAAGCCGGCTTGAATGCTACCGCATGGGGGTGGATTGCCGGCGGCTTCGCTGCGTTTGTTGGAAGAGCAACCTTTCGGCCAAAGGTCTGACTGCGCCTACCCCCTCGTGGATCTGCTCTTGGCCCCTGAGGGCCCGCGCGATCCCGCGCGCACCCACTGCCATCCCCGCCCTCCGCACCATCGACGACAGGTTTGGCAAGAACCTCCGCTGCGGCCAGTGGAAGTGCCAATGAGATCGCTGCCCAAACGACGCCCCTCCAAGGCAGCGGCAACGCCGCGACGCACCGTTTGGCACGTTCATCTTCAGCATTGGAAAGGAAGCCCTGATCGAATCCCACCAGCCCTCTGGGCGTAGGTGGTCTAGAGCAGATCCTCTTCCACCCCTCCCTCTTCCCCCTGGGGGAAAAAAAAAAAGGGGTTTACCCCTCCCCTACCCCTCCCTCTTGAACCTGGACGGGGGGCCGCGGGTAGTTTAGAGCGTCCTCAGTGGCCCAAGACGCTCCAAGAGCGCCTCATAGAGAACCCAAGAATGAGCTCCCAAGATGGCTCAAGATAACGCAAGATCGCTCGAGATCCGAGATGGCTCCAATGATGGTTCCAAGGAAGCAAAGACGGCCCCAAATGACTCCACGGGGAGCGGCCAACAGCTCCCAGGAGGCCCCGAAGAGGCCAAAATCGTCCCAAAACCTAGGAAAATCAATGATTTTTTTGCTTTTCTCGCCTTTTCGCTTCGATGGCCATCCGAGGCCTGGAGATGTTCCAAATTGCCCAATAGGGCCCCAAGAGAGGCCCCAAAGATCCCCAAGAAGGCCCCAAGAAGCGCCCGAAGAGCAACTCCAAGAGCGTTCCAAAGAGGGGTCCAGAGAGGCGATTTTAGGGGCTTCCGAGGGGGGGGCGGCTAATTAAACCCCCCCTCTTGTTTGATCGATCTCCTCCAAGATGGCCCCAAGAAGCGCCCAGGAAGCCCCAAGAGGTCCCAAGATGGCCCCAAAATGGCCCCAAGAGGCCCCCAATAGGCCCCCCGGAGGCCCCCAAGAGACCCCCAAGAGGCCCCAAGAGCCCCCCCAGATGCACCCAAGATGCTCCAAGAGGCCTCGGCGAGAATGCCTAATCATTGATTCTACACAGGTTTTAGCCACATGGAGGCCTCTTGGGGGGGGCCACGGATTAAGATGACTCCAAGAGCGTCTGGGAGAGCCCAAAATGACCTCCAAGATGGCTCAAGATATCCCAAGATGTCTCATAATGGCTTCCTCTGTGTGCTGCCCACTTCTCTGATCGAGGCAATTCCTCTGGCCATCGTTTCTGGATGGGCTGGTGGGGATTCGCGAAGCGACAACAATTCAAACTGGTTCAGCGGCGTCGCGGCCATTCCTGCGAAGTGGCAGCATGCCCCACCTCGCTCTCCGACGATACCCACGGGGCAGCGGTCGAGACATCTGGGGCCGCGGATTGAAAAACACATCGCGGATGTTCGGGGTGGTGGCCATCACGGCGATTGCGGAAGTGGCAGCACTTGGGCAACGGGTCCTGAGGGAAGCAGGTCCTGGGCCCCAAGGCTTCCCCCAGGACCAATTGTTCATCCTGAACCGTTTGCTGACAGTCACAATCCCAGGGCCCGTGGAAGGCCCCCGAACACGGCGAAGAACCTCAGGACCCGTGTCCCTCGAGGACCCGTTTCCCCCATGGCGCAAGTGGCAGCATGGTGCTGGGACCGTCCGCCCCCCCTAGGCTGGGCCCATGCAGGGCCCCTCCAGCGGCCTGGGCCACGAGTTGGCCCCTCCGCACCGGTCGAGGGCCCAGGATGGGCTCGGCCTTGCCGAGCCCGGCGAAGTGAAGCCTCCAGAGTCCAATGCACGGATCGCCGTAAACAGCCTTTTGCGATCTCGTTTCGTTTTCGTGTTAACTCGCCTTGTCTTCAGTCCCCCTGAGCGTCACGACGGAGTCCAAGCGAAAGCGGCACAGGATATCGCAAAAACACCGTTTAGGTCGAGCCTTGGTCCAATGTGGGAGGCGGCTGCACTGGCGGCCACACCAGCGGCGGAGGCAAGACAGGCCAGGGCACCCGCGCTGTGGCGGCAGCGGCCATCGCCCCCGCCGCTGCTGGGGCAGCGACGGCGATTCCACCACCTCCTCTTCCTCCACCTCCTCCTCCTGCTCCTCCTCCTCCTCCTCATCCTCCTCATCCTCCTATTTCTCCTCCTATTTCTCCTCCTCTTCCTCCCCATCCTCCTCCTGCTCCTCCTCCTCCTCCTCCTCCTCCTCTTTGTCCTCCTCCTCCTGCTCCTCCTCCTCCTCCTCCTTTTCATCCTTCTCCTCCTCCTCCTCCTCCTCCTCCTCCTCCTCCTCCTGCTCTTCCTCCTCCTCTTTGTCCTCCTCCTCCTGCTCCTCTTCCTCCTCTTCCTCCTCCTCCTCCTCCTCCTCCCCTCCTTGTTACGGTTCCTTCACCCGCAGCCGGCTTGAGCCTCGAGCCCAGGATAAATTCCTCCATATCGAAATCACCCGCTTATCTTTTCATGGTGGCGGAGCCGTGGTGAC